TATCTAACATACTTAGGCATGCTTGCTGGAAATCAAAGCCCCTCGCACACAAAAACCTCCTTTACCCCCTCCCTCCAACCTTTCCTAGGCTGACCCATACCCTGCCACTACAGATTTATACACTCTCAAAGTCATTCTATTTTGTTCCAGCCTCACTACATGTCCGAACCACCTCAACAACCCCTCCTCATCCCTCTGGATAATAGTTTTGGTAATTCTGCACCTCCTAATTTCCAGACTATAAATTCTCTGCATTATATTCACACCACACATTGCCCTCAGACATGACATCTCCACTGCCTCCAGCCTTCTTGTTGCAACATTTACCACCCATGTTTCACACCCAGCAAGAGCATTGGTATAACTATACTCTCATACATTCCCCTCTTTGCTTTTATAGATAAAGTTCTATGTCTCCACAGACTCCTCAATGCACCACTCACCTTTTTCCACTCATCATTCTGTGATTCACCTCATCTTTCATAGACCCATCTGCTGACACGTCCACTCCCAAATATCTGAATACATTCACCTCCTCCATATTCTCCCCCTCCAATCTGATATCCAGTCTTCCATTACCTAATTTTTTTTATCATCATCACCTTACTCTTTCCTATATTCACTGTTAATTTCCTTCTTTTACAACAGATATATCAATAATTATTGATATATCTGTTGCCTTCTAAAAATATACACAGCCAGAAGTCTACCCATCAAACTTTTATTTACTAATACATAGCCCAACAAACTGCTGTTGTCACGCCCTATATCTGATCTTGTATTCTTATTATCCTCTTTTTTTTTTTAAATACATATTTCCTATTTACTAGGTAGTAGGTTGGTAGATAGCAACTGCCCAGGGAGGTACTACCGTCCTGCCAAGTGAGTGTAAAACAAAAGCCTGTAATTGTTTTACATGATGGTAGGATTCTTGGTGTCCATTTTTCTGTCTCATGAATATGCAAGGTTTCAGGTATGTCTTGCTACTTATACTTACACTTAGGTCACACTACATATACATGTACAAGCATATAATATATACACACCCCTCTGGGTTTTTCTTCTATTTTCTTACTAGCTCTTATTCTTGTTTATTTTTTCTTACATCCATGGGGAAGTGGAACAGAATTCTTCCTCCGTAAGCCATGCGTGTTGTAAGAGGCGACTAAAATGCCAGGAGCAAGGGGCTAGTAACCCCCTCTCCTGTATAAATTACTAAATGTAAAAGGAGAAACTTTCGTTTTTCCTTTTGGGCCACCCCGCCTCGGTGGGATACAGCCAGTGTGTTGAAAGAAAGATTGATTTCCTATTTAATACAGTGGACCCCCGGTTAACGATATTTTTTCACTCCAGAAGTATGTTCAGGTGCCAGTACTGACCGAATTTGTTCCCATAAGGAATATTGTGAAGTAGATTAGTCCATTTCAGACCCCCAAACATACACGTACAAACGCACTTACATAAATACACTTACATAATTGGTCACATTCGGAGGTGATCGTTATGCGGGGGTCCACTGTATTAATCTTTTGAGGGTCGAGACCCTTGCCTGCAAATTCGCTCCCTGGGTCGAAGAATTAAAAAAAAAAAAATTCTTATGAAATGATAGAGAATCTTTTTCTGTAGGTAATGAAACCAAAAGCATGAAATGTGATGGAAAAATTTACGGAATTGTGCTCTCACAAAGTTAGTGGTCTCAACGATATTTATGCATCAGCAATTTCACCCACTTTAAGCTCTATTTTGGGCCAATTTCTTCGAGTCAGCGAAACTCATAGCTATTTAGCTAGAACTCCTTTTACTCTATCAAGTGAGTACACGAAACTGCCCGTTTACCTATTTCTTGGACCCTGTGGACAAGTCTCAGATTGGAGGTCTGAACCCTGAAAGGGTTAAAAGCAGGGGAAGATATAGTGTCAGAGTGGTTGGTATTTTTGTTTAATAAATGTATGAAAGAGGGGAAGGTACCTAGGAAGTGGCAGAGAACATGTATAGTTCCTTTATATAAAGGGAAGGGGGACAAAAGTGGTTGTAAAAATTATAGGGAAATAAGTTTACTGAGTATACCTGGTGAAGTGTATGGTAGTGTTATTGAAAGAATTAAAGGTAAGACAGAGAGGAGGATTGCAGATGAACAAGGAGGCTTTAGAATGGGTAGGGGATGTGTAGATCAAGTGTTTACATTGAGTCACATATATGAAGAGTATTTAGATAAAGGTAGGGAAGTTTTCATTGCATTTATGGATTTAGAAAAGACATGATAGAGTGGATAGGGGAGCAATGTGGCAGATGTTGCAAGTGTATGGAATAGGAAGTAAGTTACTAAATGCTATAAAGAGCTTTTACGAGAATAATGAGGCTCAGGTTAGGGTGTGTAGGGGAGAGGGAGATTACTTCCCAGTAAAAGTAGGTTTTAGGGATGTGTAATGTCACCATGATTAACATACTATTTATAGATGGGGTCGTAAAAGAAATAAATGCTATGGTGTTGGGGAGAGGGTTGGGATTAAATTATGGGGAATCAAATTCAAAATGGGAGTTGAGACAGTTACTTTTTGCTGATGATACTGTGCTTTTGGGAGATTCTAAAGAAAAATTGCGAAGGTTAGTGGACGAGTTTGGGAGGGTGTGTTAAGGTAGAAAGTTGAAAGTGAACATAGATAAGAGTAAGGTGATGAGGGTATCATATGATTTAGATAAGGAAAAATTGGATATCACATTGGAGGGAGGGAGTATGGAAGAAGTGAATATGTTCAGATATTTGGGGTCTGAGTTGTTTGTAGATGGGTTTATGAAGGATGAGGTTAGTCATAGAATTGATGAAGGAAAAAAGGTGAGCGGTGCATTGAGGTATCTATGAGACAAAAAACATTATCCATGGAGGCAAAGAAAGGAATGTGTGAGAGTATGGTGGTACCAACACTCTCATATGGGTGTGAAGCTTGGGTTGTAAATGCTGCAGCGAGGAGGAGGCTGGAGGCAGTGGAGGTGTCGTGTCTAAGGGCAATGTGTGGTGTAAATATTATACAGAGAATTCATATTGTGCGAGTTAGAAGGTGTGGAGTTAGTAAAAGCATTAGTCAGAGGGTTGATTCTGTTATATTCCTCTTGACCACATACTTGCTAGATACAACTTTATCAGCCTTTTGAAAATCGATTGGATGGTTAAAATCTCTCGCATGAATAAACAGACCATTAGAATCTTGTCCACTTCTAATGCTCTATTTATATTATTCTAATCTTTGTTCAAGAATTTTACCAGTTTGGTCTAGAGGAATATAATAGAATCAAGTTTGATAAAAAATACTTTTGAAAATACAGTGAACCCCTGCATAACGATCACCTCCGAATGCGACCAATTATGTAAGTGTATTTATGTAAGTGCGTTTGTACGTGTATGTTTGGGGGTCTGAAATGGACTAATCTACTTCACAATATTCTTTATGGGAACAAATTCGGTCAGTACTGGCACCTGAACATACTTCTGGAATGAAAAAAATATCGTTAACCGGGGGTCCACTGTATATACAAACTGCAAAAGGCTTTAACCCCTTCAGTGTGGGTCCTGTAAAATTACGGCTTTGAAGCCAGTGTCAGTCCCGTAATACAACATCAAAATTCTAGCTGCTTCAAATCTTGTGGGAGAAAGCTGGTAGGCCTACATATGAGAGAATGATTCTGCATGGTCATTGTGTGCCATATAAAAAAAATCCTGCAGCAAGCAGTGCATAATGGGAAATAAGGAACTGTGACCATGTTTTTGGTTTAAAACCGTGACTTTGCGGTGTATTTATGTATAGTATTTATGGCTGTATTCTCGTTTTCTTGGACTCATTTGATAGAATGAAAGATGTATTACAGAAATAGATGTAATTTTGAGTGGTTTACAGACTAAAAGTAGCTTGAAATTGTGCTCAAAGTAGCAGAAATGTTAGATATTTGATGATGTTCAAGAGTAAACAAATTAAGTCACACGTCCAATACACGTCAACTGGTAGGTCTAATATGCATTCATGAATGAGCTGATATTATTTTTACAATTATTACAATTATGCAGTAGCCTGAATAACAGTAAATCATTTATTTTTGTGTGAATAAAAATTCAGAATGAAAAGCAAGCGTAATATAAGAGGGGCTGGAGACATGACTAATGATCAGAGAAAATGTTATTTTGGTGCCAAGAATGTCTGCATTGTTTATTCTGGCCCCAATTTTAAAATTGTCCTTATTGAATTTTGTGTGAAATTGACCAAATTATTAATTTCTGATCACCTTTTTTGTGTAGATGAAATAGGTAAATGGGCAGTTTTTTGTACTCAATCATCATGCACCTGCCTCGCTTTCTCACAAATAATGGCCTCTGAAACACTATCACCATGTAACTGTTTTTTATTTATCCAAATAAACAGAGTCTTTCAACTTCTTCAGTAATTTGTGGCCTTTGCCTTGATATGACTTTCATGCCTTTTGTAGGGTCAGCTGCTTTAATTTTTTCCCATTGGCCCTGTATCATGCTAATGGTAGACTTAGATTTACCAAAAAGTTTTGCTGTATCAACCACACAGAGCCTGTCTTCTTACGTTCGAATAGCTTCCTTTTTAAACTCAGTATAATTTTTTACAACTTTTCTTTTTGCTTTCATCTCTTTATCCTTCTTTGGACCATGATGGTTTATCTCACAATAAAAAAAAATCCACCAAAACTGCAAAATAACAAGGAAATATCACTAAATGCACAGCAAGAGCTCAAGAGATGTTTATAGCATGTGCATTAGCTGCTATACTGAGTGAGAGCCATGCTGTGGACTCTGGTGATCACATGATCTGAGCCTTGTCATTTGACATCCAAGACCACGTATGAAAACCAAAACGAACAGATTGGTTTTTGAGCCGGTTTGTTCAACAACTAGTCCATTCAACAACCGAGGTTCCACTGTATTTTCATTATCACCACTAATATGATTGCTATTAATTTTAATTGTTTTTCTTTCTTTTTTTCAGTGGAAAGTACGAAGAACCTTAGCCTTCAGTATACATGAGCTTGCAGTGATTCTGGGAGAAGAAATAGCCCAGAGTGACCTTGTACCTGTATTCAATGGATTTATCAAGGATCTTGATGAAGTTCGCATTGGTGTGCTGAAACATCTTGCTCATTTTCTTCGTCTTCTTCGACCACAAAATAGGAGAGATTACCTGCCACGCATGGATGAATTCTTGCGTACTGACAACGAAAACAACTGGCGTTTTAGACTGGAGTTAGCAATGCAGCTGGCCGATATCATTGATCTTTTTTCACCTCAAGATTGCCAGACGTTCATTGCACCAATAGCATTAGCCCTTATGGCTGATAAAGTGGTGCATATTAGACACACCTGTTATACTGTAGTAAGTTTTTATACATGTATATGTGTGCATATTTATATATATATATATATTTATTTTATTTCATTTTATTCATTCATTCATTTTTATTTTTTTTACCACACCGGCCATATCCCACAGAGGCAGGTGACCTATACTGAAAGTTTTTCTTTTTAAATTTAGTAATTTATACAGGAGAAAGGGTTACTAGCACCATGTTTCTAACATTTTAGACACCTGTGACACGTATGGCTTAGGGATGAAGAATTCTTTTCCACTTCCCAATGGAGATAATAGAAAATTAAAAAGAACAAGAACTATTTAAGAAAACAGAAGAAAACCCAGATGGGTGTGTATATTACTTTCAACATACCGGCTGTATCCCACCGAGGTAGGGAGGCGCAAGAGGAAAAATGAAAGTTTCTCCTTTTACATTTAGTAATATATACAGGAGAAGGGGTTACTAGCCCCTTGCTCCCGGCATTTTAGTCACCTCTTGCGACACACATGGCTTATGGAGGAAGAATTCTGTTCCACTTTCCCATGGAGAAGGGTGTGTATATATATGTATATATATGTGTACATGCATATATAGTGTGACCTAAGTATAATTAGAAGTAGCAAGACATACAGTGGAACCTCTGGTCATGACCATAATTCGTTCCAAAACTCTGGTTGCGACCAAATTTGGGTCACAGTTTCCATTTCACACTCACTTGGGAGGACAGTAGTACCTCCCTGGGTGGTTGCTGTCTACCAACCTACTACCTAGGATTTATTTATTTATTCAGTTATTTATTTTATACAGTGGTACCTCAAGTTTCAAACACCTCCCAACTTGAACAATTATGTAAGTGTATTTTTGGGGGTCTGAAATGGACTAATCTAATTTACATTATTCCTTATGGGAACAAATTCATTTGTTATCGACACTTGAACAGCCTTCTGGAATGAATTAAGTTTGTAACTCGAGGTACTACTGTATATTAACCCTTTAAGGGTCGACAGGCCCTCTCCGAGACTCGTTTCAGGGCTGGCCAAATTAAAAAAAAAAAAAAAAATCTCTTATGAAAAGATAGAGAATCTTTTCCCGATCATAATGACACCAAAAGTTTGAAATTTGATGGAAAACTTACGGAATCATGCTCTCGCGAAGTTAGCGGTCTCGGCGATGTTTACGCATCAGTGATTTTGCCCACTTTGAGCCCCATTTTCGGCCAATTCCACTGTACTAGTCGACAAAAAACATGAATATTTTGCTAGAACTCCATTTTTTCTATCGAGTGAGTGCAAGAAACCACCCATTTATCAATTTCAACTATCCAGTACAGTGGTCAGAATTTAGCAATTTTGCCAATTTCACACAAATTTCAAAAGATGCCAATTTCCAAATAGGGTCCAGAATAAACAAGAAAGACATTCCTGGCACTAAAATGACATTTCCTCTATTCATTAGTCACGTCTCAAGGCCCCTCTTACATTCTTTTGCTTTCCACTTTGAATTTTTATTCTCACAAAAAATAGAAGATTTACTGTTATGCAGACTACTGCATTAGTGTAAAAAATGGTATAAATAATATTGGCGCACTTGCGAAAGAATATTAGACTCACCAGTTGATGTGTATTGGACGCTTGGCATGATTTGTTTACTTTTGAACTTTGGTAAATATCGAACATTTCTGCTACTTTGAGCTCAATTTCAAGGTACTTTTCATTGTAAAACCAGTCAAAATCATCTCAATTTCTGTAATATGTCTTCCATTCTATAAAATGAGACCAAGAAAACTAGAATACAACAATAAATACCATACGAAAATACAGTGCAAAGTCGCTGTTTTATTCCAAAAAAATGGTCAAAGTTTTTGTTTCTCATTATGCACTGTGTGCTGCAGGATTTTTTTTATACTGTGCAAACTGACCAAATAGACCCATTCTTTCATATGTAGGCCTACCAGCTTTCTCCCACTAGATTTGAGGGCGCTAGAATTTAGGCGTACTAGTACGTCCAAAGCCCTGGGTCGTAAGCCGTACTAGTATGGCCGAAACCCTCAAAGGGTTAATGCTCATATTCCAACAGCACATCTGATAATAAAAAACAATTGTCTCCACTCCTGTCTAATACTTTCATACCAACCTGTTGGATGTGCAAGCGGCTAGCACTCAGAACCTTCCTTTACTCCTACCCCCTCCCTAAAACCTTTTCTAGTATAACCCCTTCCCCTTCTTCCCTCCACTGCAGATTTATATGCCTTCCTAGTTAAACAATTTTTCTCCATCCTCAATTAATCAATTTTTATTTCCTTGCAAGATTACATTGAGATTATGAAATTACAAAAATGAGTTGCAGTGCAAAAAGAGCCACTCTAAATGTCCAAACTACCTCAACAGTGTCTCCACAGCCCTCTTAATAATAATACTCTTGGTAACTCCATGCCCTCAAAAACATCACTACCTTCAGCTTTCTCATTGCAACATTTAAAACCCATGCTACACATCCATACAAATGTTAATACCAGTACATGAGAGCCCTACTTACATGGCAGATTAGAGTCCAGGCTACTACTGTAAAGTGAAAATCACCATAAAATTAATCTCTCTTTTTTCACTTTGAACCTTTTCGGGGTCGGTCCCATAGTTCTACTGCTTTGAAGCCAGGATTGGTCCTGTAGTTCTATGCCATGAGCTCAATTCACTCAGATAATCTGTGAGCAGTAAATTTTTGCCTAGATATGAGAGAATGGGTCTGTGCAGTAAGTGTGGACCATATAAAAAAAAGTCCTGCAGCACGCAGTGCACAATGGGAAAAAAACTGTGACCGTGTTTTTGGTTTAAAACAACAAATTTGCAGTGTATTTTTGTCAGATTTTTATGGTTGTATTCTCTGTTTCTTGGTCTCATTTGATAGAATGGAAGATATAGAAATAGAGATGATTTTGATTGGTTTATGGACTGACAGTATCTTGAAATTGAGTTCAAATTAGCAGAAATGTTCGATTTTTGCAGATATTCCAGAGTACACAAATGCGTCGCTTGTCCCATATATGTCCAACTGGCAGTCTAACACACATTTAGGAATGCTCTGACATTATACAGTTATTACAATAATACAGTAGTCTCCATAACAATAAATCTATATTTTGTGAAAAAAAAATTCAAAATGGAAAGCAAGTGTAATATAAGAGGGGCCTGGAGACAGGAATGTCTATATTGTTTATTATTGACCTTGTTTTTAAATTGGCAATTTTTTAATTTTGTGTGAAATTGGCCAAATAACCAATCTCTGATCACTTTATTGGGTAGTTGAAATAGATATATTGGTGGTTTCTTGTACTCACTCGCAGTGGCGGCTCATCCATAGGAGCTGCAGAGCTGCAGTTCCCCCAGATGCTCACTGCCAGATGTATGACTTCATCAACCTTACTCTAAAGTAATTTGCAACTGACAGATATATTACAGGAAAAATCTGTTGTATGTTTTTTCAATGTAGTATTTATAAGCGAATTTTTTATTTTTTTTTGTTGAAATGATATTAAAAAACGATTAAAAATAGAAGTTTGGTGCCATATGATAGTATAGGTATTACTGGCATTACGAGCTGCCACTGCTCGCTCAATACAATGAAAGGACTGCTAGTGAAATAGCTATGAGATTACTCAACTGGAACAATGGAATTGGCCCAAAATGGAACAAAATCATTGATTCATAAACATCATCGAGAACGCTAACTTTTCAAGAACGTAATTCCGTAAGTTTTCCATCAAATTTCTCACTTTTGGTTTCATTACCTTTAGAAAAAGATACTCTGTCATTTCATAAGAAAAAATCATTTTTATTTTTGAAAATTCTTCAACCCTGAGAGCAAGTTTGAAATCAGGGGTCTCAACCCTCAAAGGGTTAAATGCATATAAATGCCTGAAAATATGTTTACACTATCATATATAAAGTTAGCAATAGAACTAGGTGTACTGTACCATATCTAGGCCCAAATTTACTGCTCACAGGTTATCTGAGTGAACTGAGCTCATGGCGTAGATCTACGGCTTGAACCCTGGCTTCAAAGCTGTAGATCTACAGCTATAGATTGGCTATCTGTGTCAAATGTAGTATTGAGGGTCAACCATGAAGCAGGGAAACAGACAAATTGTTTGAGAATTTATGAGATGATCTAAGATCATTTTGTTGATTAGATTTTGGATTGAGAATGAGACTATTGGTCTAAGATTAGGGAGCCTTCCCAGCTGTATAGCTCATATTGTATAGTTCAGTTAAGGATTTCCTAGTACAAACCAATATGGATATGTTTTACATGATACCTTCGTTGCTAGGGAGTGTGAATTTGCCCTAAATTAGTGCAGGTTCCAGGTCAAATTCAGTGAAAGGAATGTTGCAATCATCATCATTGCTTTGTATGACCCCCACAGGTTTAGTATTCATATGTGAATAATGTTGAAAGGTTATACTGGGGTTATAGCATACCTAGTTGCCCACATGGATGTACACAGGCAGGTCCCACTTAAACACCAGCTTAGGTTCTGGGTTACCACTTTAAAGTGAAATGTAGCCTTTTTTTTTTTTTTTTTTTTTTTTAATTTCAAATGCATATAAAAGCCTTATAACATATTTATACTATTGTATATTAAGTGAGCAATAGAACTAGGCCTAAAAAAAATGCATATGCAGTACACACATTACTTGCCTTAAATATTTCCATCCTTAATTTGTAGTGAGTGATGAATATATTTTTTGTAGGAAGTCAGAATGAGGAATAAGTATAATTGAAAACTGCTGCATTAGCAAAACACTGTACAGCGGGGCCCTCCTGTATGTACATTGTGCCTGGTTTGAGGGTTAATATTTTGCTTAGTATTGCTCACACTTGAACAGTTTATATACAAGTAAACAATACTTAGAAAATACTCTTTTTGATGCTATACACATTTGTATCTTCATATATTGTATTGTGTATGCATGCAGTGTTTATTTAATGCTATTTAACCCTTTCAGGGCCCAGACCCCCGATCTGAAACTTGTCCACAGGGTGTATTAATATTGGTAGAATTGCTGACAATATGTTAAGAAAAAGGACACAAATGCAACTAATGTGACATATTATTCTGGCAATGTTTTGCTCTCCAGGAGCTTTATCAACCTGTTACAAACAATACATGGACACAGATAGTATATATAGGCTTAGAGTGAGGTGTAATACTAGTGGTGGTAGTAGTAGTAATATTAGTTGTAGTAGTAGTGGTAATACAATATGGTAGAACAATGAACTTGCACATGAGTAAAAGGTTATAAAATCTATTACTTGGGTGGCATAAGAATAAGTTAGACAAATATTGACGGTTGGATTTCAGAAGGTCTGTTTCAGCGTTCCTCTTCTGTAATGAGCTTGTGTAGTATTAGCAGCAGAGACTATGTAATAGCAGGGTTTACTGTTTTCAGGAGGATTGTCACTAAGACCTCAGAGATAAGAACATAAGAACATAAGAATGGAGGAACACTGCAGAAGGCCTACTGGCCCATGCGAGGCAGGTCCTTATCAAAACAACTACTACCTAAAGCTTCCCTAGAAATAACTCCCGTACCCAATGACACCAATCAAAACCAGCCCCTCCCACTCATATATTTGTCCAGTCTCTTCTTAAAGCTACCCAAGGTCCTAGCCTCTATCACCCCACTGGGAAGACTGTTCCACGCATCTACAACTCTGTTAGAAAACCAGTACTTACCTATGTCCTTTCTAAATCTAAATTTATCCAACTTAAATCCATTATTCCTGGTTCTTACCTGGTTCGACACCCCCAGTACTTTATTAATACCTCCCTTGTTTATGCCCGTAAGCAGCAACCTTAAACCAAGACAGCAATGCCTAAGCGTACGTAATAAGGCAAATAGATTATTGGGATTTATATCAAGAAGTGTAAGCAACAGAAGTCCAGAGGTCATACTGCAGCTTTATACATCATTAGTAGATGATGAAGCTTCCTTTGTTTTGTTTAATTGTGTTAGAAACAGCGATTAATGCTGATTCAAGGCACTTGCGTCTGCGGAAATTAGGTTCTTTGATCACTTATTGGGCACATTAGTTGCATTTGTGTTCTTTTTTTTAACATATTGTTCACAGGGTCCAAGAATTTTCAAAAAAAAAAAATATTTTTTCTTATGAAATTGTAGGGAATCTTTTTCTTAAGGTAATAAAACAAAAATGTATGAAATTTGATGAAATTTTGCTGCGTCAGCGATATTGACGCATCGGCAATTTTGCCCAATTTGACTCCTATTTCAGGCAATTACATTATTCCAGTCAACAAATTCTTAGCTGTTTTGCTAATATCACTTCTATTTTATCAATTGAGCACAAGAAACTGCCCAGTCAGCTATTTCAACTACCCAATAAAGTGATCAGAGGTGGCCAATTTCACACAGTTCAAAATATTCCAATTTCAAAATAGGGTCCAGAATAAACAATGCAGCCATACCTGTCACTAAAATAACATGTCCTCTGTTTATTAGTTACATTTCCAGGCATTACAAATGAATTTCATTTTGATTTTTTAGTCACACAAAAAAATAGAAGATTTACTGTTATGCAGTATTGTAATAATTGTATAAATCATATCAGTGCATTCGTGAACACACATTAGACTCACCATCTGATATGTATTGGATGCATGATGTGATTTGTTTACTCTTGAACATCGGCAAAAATTGAACATTTCTGCTACTTTGAGCTCAATTTCAAGCTATTTTCAGTACTAAAACCATCAAATTCATCTCTATTTCTATAATATATCTTCCATTCTATCAAATGAGACCAAGAAACCGTGAATACAACAGTAAAATACATTGTGATAAAGTTGGTAGAATTACCAACAATATGTAAAGTAAAAGGACACAAGTGCAACTAATGTGACAATTTATTGTGGCAACATTTTGCTCTCCAGGAGCTTGACAAAGCTCCTGGAGAGCAAAACGTTGCCACAATAAAATGTCACATTAGTTGCACTTGTGTCCTTTTACTTTACAGTAAAAAACATGCAAAAATACATCGCAAATTTGCTGTTTTAATCCAAAAATATGGTGGCAGTTTTTTCCCCATGCACTGCATGCTGCAGGATTTGTTTTATATGGTGGACACTTACCACATAGATGCATTCTCTCATATCTAGACCCAGATTTATTGCTCACAATTTATCTGAGTGAGCCGAGCTCATGCCGTAGTACTACTGAATGGACCCTGGCTTCAAAGCTGTAGAACTACATGTAGCATAGACCCTCAAGGGGTTAATGTTGCCAGTCTTGATACATATTCTTTGAACAATCATTATTAATTAATGTGCATAGCAATACACTTCTGGAATGAGCTTGTTTTTATAATTAAAATTCTATCAATAAAAAGTAATAAAGTCAAACTTATCTTCAGATGTGTCAGCTTGTGAGGCAGCTAGGCTCAGAGGGTAACCCAAAGTATGTAGAAACTCTCAGCAAACAGCTGAGAGAGAAGTTTGCTCATGCTACTACATGGTCACACCGTCAGTCATACGCTTTTTTATGTGGTCAACTTGTTGCCGAGCGATCATTGTCTCTCCAAGACTGGTGCCGCCTATTCCTTCCTGGTCTGCTCACTTTAGCTACTGACAGAGTGCCCAATGTTCGCATTGCTGTAGCCAAGATGCTAAATACTCATGTTGCATGTTTAGGTAAGTAACTGGTTACATACAATACAATGAGGTTTTTAAATGTAGTGACTAGATTTATTTTTATAATTAGCAAAATAGTGGCATAATCCTGAAAATTTTTGAGAGAATTATGATAATTTATTGACTAATTTTTTTATATGTAACAGAATACTGCCAGAATCCTGAAAATGAAGTATCACAGAAAGTGCAAGAAGCTCTAGAGTTGTTGCGACATGACAAAGACAGAGATGTGGGACACTTTGCTTGCTGCCCAGTGAACACAGAATTCATGTTGGATCCCCATGACCCAACATTATAATAGTGGTTATATTAGCCATCTATACTTCCATATAGCATACCTTTGCTTAACTTTGCAAATTTTGAAGAGTCCTGAATTTTCAGAGTTGATTGCAGCAAATGCAGTTGCATGTGTTCTCAGATTGAAGTGGGTGATTTCAGGACAGGTTTTGTATTCATTTCAGATAGAAAATGAGCCTTATAAGCAAATGAGCATATGGTTTCAAAGTGACAAGCAATTTCACATTGAAAATTGCTTATCTTTGAATCTTTTCTCATTTTTTTTATTGTTAATTTTTTTTAGGAAATATTTATAACACATTTTAGTCACCCCCTACTAGTTGGTGCATAAATATTGCCACCATAGTGACTTTATCGGGGCATCATAGGCTGTGCAATATGGTGGTGACTTCTTAACATCACATCTTGCACACTTATTCCAATATGTCCATTTATCATTTTATCACCAAATTGGCAGGGTTAATCATTTAATGAAGCTGAAGTAATACATATGTACTATATATTTGGAAATATCTATTAGTGCAGTGCTTATATTCCATTGAGTTATATTTGACAGCTGTGGGTGGTAAATTTTTTTTTTACCCATTTTACCATCTTTTCAACCTAGAAATGCCCACATTTTAATCCATCCAAGTTTTTATAGGTAATTTGAAGTTCAAATTCCTTAACATCATTTTAGAGCCAAATTTAAATATTTTGTTTTATGAAAATTACACGGGTTTGTATGTAATAGTCAGAGTAGGGAAGTACAAATATGTGGATATAACTGATATTTGGAATGGTGAATACCATACATGTTTGATCTGTGTAACATGCTTTTCTGCACCTTGAGAATGACCCTTAGGCTCTGACTGCATAATGATCATCTTATATAATTAATGCCTTGTTATTGGTAACGTTTCAGTTTGTATTTTATAAAGTTCCTGTGATAATTGTGTTCCAAAGAAATGAGGATTTACCAAATTTATTGCAAATTTTGGAAGAGTTTATGATACTAATAACACCTCTTATCCCCACTCTCTTAAATTTTGCTTTAACCAATCTTTACATTTATGAGTTTGTGAAACCAAATTTTGATTGTCTTAGAGAGCTTGAGCATGCAAAGGATATTTTAAGTTCATGTGATCTGTTCCAAATGTTGCTATACCAGCTTTGCTTTCAAGGAATAGTTTGAAACCAGACTCGCTACAATGAATACCGGGCTGTCTGCTCAGGTGGCCCATAAGCATAATCTGGTTTAAAGATCTGCTTATAAATTAACTTTTTTTTTTTTTTTTTAAAGCAAATAACCTTTAAATCATTAGCAGTTGTATTCCATTTATATAAATGAGAGTTGCCTTGGTTCAGTGAAGATGTGAAGGTTAGTTACCAAGTAAATCATTTTAATGCTGATGTATTTTTGTCTTGAATGACATCATGAGTGTGGGATATTCCAATATAATTGTCTTCACTTATTAGAATATTTTCTTGTTCATTTATGCTAAATACTGCTTGCTATCCTTGTTTTTATAATTTCTTAAATTTGCATATTCTGATACTACCCTATTCATTATGTAATCACTAAGAATACCCACTTCCAAAAAAATATAAGAAAAAATGCTTAAAACACCCAGTGATGATCTCAGAGTGAGCATTTGTGATAGTTTAAAATTTTAATGCCCTTCTGAGCTCTGATGTGGCACTAATATCACTTATTTTGAACCCCTTTGGATCTTTTGTATTTCTCTCTACCTACTTTTGATCATTATTTAAGAAAGCCATATATTTTTGTGTATTATCATCCTTGATACAAATTAATTGTGCCATTATCATTGTTTAAGTTCACTGACAAACTCGACAGGGGGTTCAGCATTGGGAATATACCTTCACTTATTCTTCTTTTAACTTCATTGTAAATGTCATATTGTACAGGTATGAAATAAAATTATAAAGAATTTTTTTTTTTCTGCCTATGACAGTAGTAAGTAATTTTTATAAAAGTGAGAACTCAGTGGATGGCATGAGAAACTTTTGAGAAAAATTGGGTTACAGTCCATGACACCCCCCACAGAGCTGAATAACTTTTTATCAAATTCTGACAAATTAAAAATTTACAAAGCTTTTGAAACCTTGAAATCTTACTTGTAGATGTCATTCCTTGTTGATCTATTAATGTGTCAAGTGTGCTGTCCTACTGGGCCTAGTCAAATATAATGAGGTTTAAACAAAGTATAACAATTTACAATGTTTGACTTCATTACTTCCTAACTGGGGGTCACGACTCGAGAAATTGTAATAACACAATTGCACACAAACCACTGTACAGGTGGGGTTAGAACCCGTGGTGATCAAGTCATACGAGTGAGTTTACCACAACCATGCTAGTAGGAGATTCATCTGTATTATTATTATCAAAAAGAAGCGAGGGTATTGGGCGGTAGAAGGGGGGGAGGGATGATCAGTAGGTTACAGAAAACAGTGGGGCAGGGGATAGTGCGGGGGTAGAGGGTAGCAAGAGATTGAGGTAGAAAGGGCTGAAGGTAACCAAGTTTGTGAAGCAAGTCAGTTGTTGTCAATAAGAGTGTCCGGATGAAAGGTGGGTCCATCAGCGAGAAGGGAAGGTAGAGAGAGACAGCAACGGAGCAAAGACGACGACGGAGGTAAATTCTGTGTGCTCGATGATAAAGTGGGCAGTCTAACAGAATGTGGCTGACTGATAATGAAACATGACAGTTCTCACAGAGAGGAGCAGGGCGCCTCTACATGAGATAACCATGAGTAAGACGAGTATGGCCAATGCGAAAACGGGAGAGAGTAGTCTCCCAACCTCGACACTGGTGACAAGAAGACGGCCAGTAACCTACACTCGGTTTAATAGATTGAAGATTGTTACCGAGCAGAGTAGACCAACGTTGTTGCCAATGGGTGTGAAGGTGGGTAGCTATTGCAGCAAAATAGTCCGTAAATGGAATACCTCTATATGAAACTGGTAGGTCATGTACTGCTGACCGCGCAGCAGTGTCTGCCTGTTCATTGCCCTATACGTCAACATGACCAGGGACCCAACAAAAAACAATATCTTTATGCTTGGTAAAGATGCGGCGTAGCCAAAGTTGGATACGGAGGACTAAGGGGTGAGGTGTATCAAATTCCTGTATAGCCTGTAAAGCACTAAGGGAGTCTGAGACAACCACAAATGATGACACAGGCATAGATGCAATACAGATAAGTGCTCCAAGAATGGCATACAATTCAGCAGTAAAAATACTAGCCGAAGATAGTAAATGCCCTTGTACGACGCTGTCCGGAAACACTGCTGCAAATCCTACGCTGCCAGAAGACTTAGAGCCATCTGTGTACACTGCAATGGCATGAGAATGAGAGTGGAAGTGGTCAAGAAAAAGAGAGCGGGAAGCGACCGTAGAGTTGGGCTTTCGAGCAAGGGAGAGAGAAAGAACAGACTTGAACAGCTGGAACTTCCCAGGGGGGTAGGGAAAAGCGAGATGCTACATGAACATATAAAAGTGGTAATTGAAGAGAAGACGAGCGAATGTAGGCGAAGAGAGAAGGGACGGAGTAAACAGGGGCGGCGAACAAATAAAGAATGTCTACTAATATCAGTGACCATTCTATAAATGGAAGGATTGCGGAGATCATGAGAGCGTACATAGTAGCGAAGGCAATGCGTATCACGGCGATTGGATAAGGATCGAACGTTCGCTTCTGCATAGGTTCTCAACAGGGGAAGAGCGAAAACACCAAGGCATAAACGTAATTCTTGGTGATGAATGGGGTTAAGGCTAGAGAGAGTAGCAGGAGAGGCCACTGAATAGATCTGGTCACCATAATCAAGTTTCGATAAAATGAGGGTGGAATGTAGGCGAAGGAGAGTTCGACGATCAGCTCCCCATGAAAGATGAGCAAGGGTTTTAAGAAGGTTCAGTCGGCTGTGACAAGTTGCCTTCAGAGAGGTAATGTGAGGTTTCCAGGATAACCTACGGTCAAAGAGGAGGCCCAGAAACCTGACTGTATCACGTTCAGGGATACGGGAGCCATAGAGGTACAAAGGATGATTGGAGATGGCAGAGCGTCTAGTGAAAGTAATTTGGTGAGTTTTGGTACTGGAAAATTTAAACCCATGTGTGGTGGCCCAATTGGAAACATGGTCGACCGCATGCTGGAGAGAAACTGTAATGAGGTGACAGTTAGTGCCTGCACATGCAATAGCAAAGTCATCAACATAGTGATGGCCAAATATTTGATGGAAGACTAGAGGCCAAATCATTTATAGCAAGGAGAAAAAGTGTTGTGCTCAGAACACATCCCTGGGGGACACCTTCAGCTTGGACAAAGTCCGGGGAGAGCACATTATTAACCCGAACACGGAAATGTCTGTCAGTTAAAAAGTTCTTAAGGAAGGATGGTAGATTGCCTCGAAGGCCTAAGGAGTGGGCTTGGGCCAAAATATTATACCTCCAAGTTGTGTCATATGCCTTCTCAAGGTCAAAAAATATGGCAATAACCGAGTGGTTATTCGCAAAGGCATTACGAACATACGTATCCAAGCGTAGTAAAGGGGTCTATGGTAGAACAGCCCTTACGAAAGCCATATTGACGAGTGGAGAGACTGTTGTGTCTCTCTAAATACCACACTAAACGTCTATTTATCAGGCGTTCCATCACTTTGCAAACTGCACTGGTAAGAGCAATGGGACAATAGTGGGAGGCTTAACTGTCCCGTAGTATCCGGTTTGCGGAAAGGGAGAACAATGGCAGATTTCCACAGCTGTGGAGGAACTCCTTGTGACCAACTGTATAGCCCTTGTGGCTTAGCGCTTCTTTTTGATTATAATAATAATAATAATCCTTGTGACCAAATAAGATTGAAAAGGCATAATAGGACTGCAAGGGCTGACTCATGTAAATGTTGTAGCATACGAATATGAATGTCGCCGGGCCCAGCTGCCGATGATCGGCAAGCTGAGAGTGTTGCTTCCAGTTCTTGAGTGTAAAAGGCACATTATACTGTTCTCTGAGAGAAGAAAAGTCCAAGGGTGCTAACTCTGGCAGACTTTGAGGAAAGAAACGAGGGGCATAGATGGAGCCCCTGAGAAATACGGACCAGATGATTGCCAATTTCATTGGCAACATCTAATGGGTTTGCAATATCAACACCGGCAACCCGCAGAACAGGAGCCGGGTCAGGAGAATATTTACCACTCAGTTTTCGTACTTTTTTCCAGACTGCACTCATAGAGGAAGGAGAGGTGATGGTGGAGACATAATCTCGCCAGCAAGTGCATTTAGCGTCACGGATGACACGGCGAGCGATCACACGCTTCTGCTTAAAATCAAGAAGTCTCTCCGTGGTTCTATTGTACCAGTACCTGCCCCACGCAGCGCGTTTCAAACGTACTGCACGAGCACGAGCAGGAGACCACCAAGGCACGCATTTCTGAGAATGCCTGCCCGAAGTTTGGGGTATAGAATGAGAAGCTGCGGTTAAAACGGAGGACGAGAAGAGGTGTAAAAGCTCATCAATGGAGGACGAAGAAGGAATCTCACTAAAAACAGTTAGTTGTGAGTAAAGGTTCCAATTTGCCTGATCAAATTGCCAGCGTGGGATACGAAGAGGTGGTGAATATGAAGGGGAAATAAGAATGATTGGGAAATGATCGCTGTCATGTAAATCCAGGAGAACAGACCAGGTGAGGTCTAATGCGGCGGAGGAAGAGCAGACTGAGAGATCGATGCAAGAGAGAGTGTGAGTCTGAGGATCAAAATGAGTGTGAGTACCTGTATTTAAAACATGGAGGGGGTGGGTAGCAAGAAAACCCTCTAACTGAATGCCACGGGAATCACAGTGAGACCCCCCCAGAGGAAATGATGGGCATTAAAATCGCCAAGCAACAGAAGTGGTGGCGGTAATGATGAAACAAGAAAGGCAATATCTGGGATAGATAATGCCCGAGAAGGAGAAAGATATAAAGAACAGAGCGTATACCACCTATGCAAGTGGATATGGGCTGCTGTGTAATGTAGCGAAGTACGAACAAATAGCTGATGGTACGGAATATCAGTGTGTAGAAGAAGGGCACTTTCATTAAACGTCCCATCAGGAAAAGGATCTGAAGAATACAATAAATTATAGCCTGAGATGGGATAGATAACAGCAGAGTGTAATTTTGGTTCCTGTAAGCAAACACCAACAGGGGAAAACTGGGAGAGTAACATCTGAAGCTCACCCCGATTACCCCAGAGGCCGCGTATATTCCACTGTAAATAAGCTATGATTGGCAACGATAAAGATACCTGAAATCCGCAGGTAAGGGTTCCTATGGACTAGAGGGGTTAGAAAAGTCCACGTGTGGTGGCAGCGGAAAACGTTCAAGCAGCGAAGGAATGGTGCGCTGCGAAGAAAGGAGTTGCGCAGATGGAGGAGAGGAGAGAGAAGGAACAGAGGGTGGATCAGTGTCCATTGATGGTTTGGTCTCTGCAATACATTCAGAGATTGCTTCAAGTGTTTCGGAATTCAAAGACGTCGTATGGGAGACAATATTGGAGATGGTAGGGGGAGGATGAGTAAAGATTGGAACTGTAATGGACCGTACCAAGGTGGGGGGGGGGCAAAAGGGTGGAGGGAACTGGAGAAGAAGTGTGGAAGGGGACAGAAGAGGCAGAAACCTGGGAGGTGGCAGAAGAGGAAGAAACTTGGGAGGGAACGGGAGGAAGGTACAGTACGAGGAGGAGGGTGAACCTCTACACTTGTAACAGAGCCAGTGAGAGGGGAAGAACCCGGTACAGAGACAGGGAAGGTAAAATGAGGAGGTGGAAGAAGGGAAGGAGGGGTTAAAGGAGTTTTTTTTGACTTCTGAGAAATAGAGGTACGATTGGGAGGTGTTGTACGAGATCTTGTCGATACCGAGGCTTGTGAGGGAGAACACGAAGTGAGAACA